CTCCCTTCATAATTTTCACTTAAGACAATTTAGGACAGAAGGTCCTTTCAGGATGATGCCAATTCTTCACATCCAGGGTCACCCTTAGTGACCCTGCACTAGGAAAAATGTCCATTTGAGTTTAAACTCAGGTTTATGTGTGCACAAAACTGATACAAAGTACCTGAAAAGGTGTGCCCATTGCTTAGCAGAAAAAAGGACCCCTTTCCCTGCAATTTCCTTCTCAGATGTCCTTTGAGAGAAAGAGAAGGCTGCACCATGAAAACAAAAGTAAAACCGAGCTATTCCCTCCAGTACATGCGCCCTGAAAACCTCAACTCCCTTTTCAGAGCACAAATAAAACTTCCTATTTTTTGACAAAACCTAGTATGGTCTGCCTCTGTTTACTCCTACCCATCTAAACACATGCATTTTTTCCCCCAACGTTTCATTTCTCACCTTTGAAAGAACCCTCTAATGTCAGACCACATTTTAAACCCAATAAAAAATAAATCAGAGAAAAGTAAAACTCTTTGAAAGTCATTTCCCTCTACCTTAGTGCTTGCTTTAGTCTTGGTTGAGAACCAAGCCCAGGGCATTTAAAACAAGATTTATGAATCAGGCTCTTCAGGATGAATGTTTTCCAATGCACCAGTGGTTAAAAATTAACTCTGACAGGTGTAGAAGGGCAGGGGGGAGAAAGAATCGTTTATTTTCCCTTTGGGCTTAAGGGTGCAATATTAGACTTCAATTATGCTACATTAATATTTCTGAGTATATCCATGAAATCTGAAATATGTAAATACACTTATAATGGGTTTCATTCAAAGGCACCCCCTGTTCACAGTGGCCCCTGCTTTGACCTCAGTTACCCTATAGAAATCAACTTGAGCTACCTAAGTATCAGTAGGGCCAACATAACACATGATGATTCAAGAAAGTCTGCTCTTCACCTTTAAACATTCTGAAGACTTTTCATAACAAAGGGAGCCACAAATTATCAACCGAGTTTTGACAACTTACCTACGCTTTTGCCTTTCAAACCTTAGTTTCCCTCCCTCTAGGGGAGACACCTTACTTCCGAGGTGTACTGGATACATTCAGCGAGCTGGTGTGAGAGGTCTTTGAAAGTGGGGAACTTTATCCAAGAATAAAAACAAATTCCATTTGGATGATTATAATGCTGTGCCCAGTTCTCTGCTAGGAAGAGCTCGAAAGGAGAAGCCTTTGTCTATGAGACACATAGCTGCGCAGATGAAATTCAGAGAACTCTAGAACAGTTAAGTGTAAGAAGAGAAGGGGCTGAAGGACATAGAATGTACCGAATGAGTCCAAAACCTGCACATAAAGCCAGGGAGGACCTCCTCGGGGGCAGATGAAGAGGGTAGCGCTGTGTACAGATGTGCATTGCGTGCACTGTACAAAGGCACCTGGGCAAGGTGGTGAGGGAACTAGTACAGAAATCCAGGCCCTTCCACTCACTAAGCCACACACAGAGCACAGGGCATCAGATAAAGGCATCTTCCTCCCTCCAAGCAATGCACCCAACTGGGCAGCAACTGCCCAGTAAGTGTCTCTTTCAGATTTGTGTTAAAGTCCCTCCAGGCTCCCAGAAGCCAGGATCTGCTGGCTAGAAACATGGGGTCTGTAGGGAGAGTGGCCTAGTAGGATGCAGACAGCACTAACCAGGATGGCGGCCTGAGGAGATGGAGCCGAGGGTGAGGCCAGCTCCAGCAGGGCCCTGAAAACTAGAACAGGCACTGGAGACACACTGCAGGGTCCAGCGCACCAGTATGCAAAGGCTGAGTGACTGGATGGCGAACTCGGCAAGCAAGTAGCAAGAGCTGGGGTTCAAACCCAGATCTAGCTGACTCGCACTGTTACTTCCACCACACTAGGGGCGGAGCCACTCTGAGCCTGATCCCCAAAGCTATAAAAAAAAAAAAAGACATTGGGGCTCTTCACTGTATGTGACCCACAGGAGCAAATATCCCCTATTTTTAGTTTATTACTTGCTGGAAACTTCAGAGGACTTTTTGACTGGACACTAAAAACCACCCCATTGCTCACGACGGTTCCAAAAGCCCGGCAGCAGAAAGAACAGGAGGCTGGTGTCCCGGGCCGGGTCCTCCCGCAGACCGGGTTCCAACACACCTGGGGTGACATCAGCCACCTCTATGGGCTTCAGTTTCTTCGGGTACACATGAAGAGCCAGACAATGCTTCAACTCTAAAGTGATGCTTTTCACGATGCTGTCACTTAAAATGCTTACTGCTTTTTCAAATCTAGGATAAATATCGAGCTGTTATTTTTGTCCTTTGCAATTTATTTTGAATAAATCTTTGAAACTCCTTGAATAGAAACGCTATTTCTCCTTCCCCTGGAGGAACTGTACCTATTCTTCAAAGACCATTTCAAGTCCTCTTTTTTTCTGTGAACTTTTTCTTTCTACTCAATTACCCTGAAACGTCACCAATCACATCTCTCATGTTCTTTTTATACTTGCAGTACACGCCCTCCCACCTAGAACTTAATTACGTACTATGTGCTAATGGGTCTTTATGTGAATTGACACGCTGCCTCAAACATCATTAGTTCTGCCTACCATTTCAAGTTCCACCCGGAAACAACCAGAAAGGATGTCTATTTGCCCCATAATAGTCTTGCTTCTCCCCTACCCCCGAAGTATCATTCAAGCACTCATTTCTATTCACGACAATAAAGTTATGGCAAATCAATGATTTACGACCGTTCCCTGGAGATGCGTAGTTGTGTGCTTCCTGGCCCTCAGGGACTAGCACGTGCCAGGGTACTGACTCCACCAAAGCACTGCATTCCTACCAGGCCTCAGAAGCCATTTCTCTAACTCAGGGTATCCTGCCGAGCGTCTGCACTGGAGCCACTCCTGAATACATGGGAGATCAGGAGGAGGACGCTGTCCTGGGGTGGGTAGTGTATTTTCACCAGTGACAGATGCTGAAGCCACCATTCCAAAGGACCCATGTGATTTCCAAAACAGCTAAGAGATATCACACAAAGGGGGAAGTGGCTCAAACTAGGCTTTAAAAATTACTTGCAGGCAATTTTTTGGGAAGAGGCTGCAGGTGTTCTGGGACACTTCAGCAAATGTTCACGGCTTTATTTCTCATTCTCAATGGAGCTGATGGAACTAATCCGCCTTTGAACCTGGCACACCAAGAAGAATGGAGGGTCGAAGATATGTCAAGCAGTTTTAAAGGTGCATCATGAAACCGGCTGCAGATGAATTTTTTGATGGTTGGAATTTGGCTAAAACTGAGACGTTTAACCAGTTCACACCAGGCAGGTGAATTTAGACTCCACCACTGAGTCAGCTACACCCTGTGTAGCAGAAATTCTCAACTCCATGTGGTAAATTCATTTGTGAATTTATCTATCAAACCTGGCTTTCAGCTTCCGTGTCTCCGCTCTCCAGAGGGATGACCACTAGAAGACCAGGACCCCCGTTTCCTGCAAACAAGACCCAGCTCTCCCTGTCTGAGAGGTCCTCCACACATAAGTCCAGAGGAAGTGAGAGATCACAGCTCAATCCTTTGGCTTAGGGCCCTGTTCTGTCCTTGCTAGTACTCTTCCTTCCCATCACCGCGTGATCAGGCCAGGAGTGGGCAGTCACGGTCCACATCTGCCCCCGTCCCTCCCCACAGGGTACTGCTATCACTGCACTGCTTCCTACTCAGCCCAAAGGCAGCCTCTGAACACCAGCACAGAGCTCCAAAACCCACTATCGAGTGACCTGAGCAGTCACATGAGATGAAACCTTTTGGCCAACCGCCACTGCCCAGGACTAAAGTCCTGGGCTGCACCTGTTGACAGACTTCTCCGATGCAGTTGACCTACAATCCAGGGTAGCCCTGGTGCATCGCCTGCTTGCTGGGATTTGGAATATTTGGAATGGACCACGCTTGCTTTATGCACTATTTCTGCTGCCTCTCTCACCCGTGGGTACCATAGTTTGGGTCTGTCCACAGAAGCCCCTCCTGATACCTGTATCATGAGTGGTTACCTATCCCATCCTTTATTCAATCCCTACAGCTAGGTTTTCAGTCTAGACCCTTGGCTCTCTGTCTGCCCCATCCAGATGCAAACAACCAAGCCTGGCTATGGAACACCTGAAACAAAAAGCCCCACTTAGTTCTCACTGCATGACTGATAATGGGGCCCCACTGCCTGCTAGTATAGAGATAAATTTGATAATCTGCATGAATTACGTATAATAAGCAATCAATTCATGATGCTTTAATTAAATTCGAAGCATAAATGCAGACTATGAACCATACCTTCTACTAGTCCTGAAACTTCAGTTCTAGGCCCCCAATCACTACTCTAAATGACCAGCTAAATTTTAACTGGCACACAGCAAAGTCAGGTTGCTTAGACTTGCCACAGTAGAAGAAACATACATAGGTTTAAATTAAATCCACTGCTAACACAGTCTACACTTCCTGCTCTGTTAAATGGCTAACTGAACGCCCGCCTGCTTTCAAAGAAGTGTCTGGCTCACTCTTAACTTGCTGCAGTGAACCCCTGGTTGCATACTGCTCGCATTATTAAAAATGTTTATTTTCACAGACATTTCTCAGCCCACCTGCTTCCAAAAAACACATTCCAAAATACTTTAAATTATCTAGTAATTATAAGTTCCCTACTTAATAAGTATTAGAAAGAAAAACAAAAACGCCAGCAGTGAAAATGAACTCCATAATTTACGCAACAACTTGAAGCATCAGAGCTGAGGGGAGCGGGCGAGCTCCCAAAACCCCTCACCTAAAACCCAGATCATGTAAAATCCACAAATATCGAAATCCAGATAATACAGACCAGATATGCTGCCACCCAGCCGTTTTTCTCTAAATCGTAAGGTAAGACGTTATTACGGATCTCAAGTCTATGAGAAACTGACATTACTTTGGAGATTTAAAGCCACCATTTTTCAGGCTCTTAAAAACCAAACAAGGGAATTTTAAATGTTCAGAAGGCATTACCTGGTGCAGGCTGTCGCTCATTCCACTCGGTCGAGATTAAAATTTCTATAACTTTTATGAGGTGTTCAGTATTCTCAGAGCTACCAAAAAAAAAAAAAAAAAAAAAGAGTTCCATTAGAAACTTCTACCCCAGCAACAAACTCATTTTCATTAATACACAATGAAGTGAGTGTGTCTGAGGTCAGTATGCCCACGCATGTGCCAACCAGGACCTTTAGAATCAGTTTACTGGCCAGCCGACTTAGGACTCCCCTCACCACCCCCAAGTCCAAGGTGCTCTTCTCTCACTTACCTGGCTGCTGGGAATCTGAAAAGCAGAGGGCTGAAAAGTTCAGAGAGAACTCTTGCATTCAGAAGGTTTTTGCTGGAGCTTTGAAAGAGCTTGAAGAAATGTTTCAGCAAATACTGAAGCGTGAGCCAATACTGATGAGGTATGTTAGGCGACCGAATGAGCTTTTTCAACAGCTGGATGTATTCTTCGGAGCTCTGCACTTCTACAGGTTTTAAAAAAAAAGGGTGAAGCAAGAAAAAAAAAAAAAAGAATGAGAGATCGTTTCCAGCTATCAGTGAATAAATACCTTGAAAATTTCTGTTCGAGCTACAGAGGAGTCATTTAAAACACAGGCAGCAGAAGGAGCGGACGGTACATTTGCTCTTCTCGTTAGAAAAGGCATTATGAGAAAGTAGCAATCTCAAGTCAGATGGAAATGCAAGAAGCTCTTGGTGTACAAAACCACAAGAGGTTCTGGGTGCGCCGCCAGAGCTCTACCTTCTACTGAGCGGCTTCAAGCGTGATTGGCTAACCCGGAGGAGCATCTGATAAGCATCGCAGGTTTTAACTTTGAAGGTTACAAACCACAACTTCCTGTCCCCAGAGCACTTTAACTGAGCAGGAGCTCCTAAAACAGAGTGTCCTCGTCCTTCGGCTCATTATGTAATGGCCACTGAAGGAGGGTGACAGGGACATCCCTACTCACTGGGTCCTGGTTCCCTGAATCTGGTACTTAAAATGTGGAGGCCCTCACTGACATAGTGAACTTTGTTAATCCCGATAAAAGGTTAACAATTAGCCATTTCAGCATGTGTCTGGCCTTCCTAAGCAAACGAGAGCCTAGTTCTTCTACTGGTTGCCCTGTTAAGGGAGGGAATTTGTGCTGATCGGTGTGGGGGGAGGTGGGGCCAATTCCTACCAAAGACCTCTCTTTACATGCAGCACTTGAGTTTACAAGCACGCCCACATCTCACTCTTATGTTCAAGGGGGTTCTTGGAAGAGACAAACCTTGGGCTAAAGAAACCATCTCACTGTAAACGGCTACTGGAATGACAGGATTTGGTAAGTCCAGGAGATAGCGTTTGAAAGTGTCTGCTAAAACATGCACATCGATCACGTCCAAGTCCACGGAGGCGGCATCTATGATCGGAAAAAAAAAAATTCAGACATTTTACGCATTGGTTGGGCCGATTTTCTGAATGTGTGACTTAGATGTGACACATGAAAGGAAGCAAGATGGGGACAAATATAAGATACCTGAGTATCTTAGCAGTGTTTCTCATAGGGGTTGCTCCTGGCATTCTGAATAGAATGGTTTTTCCTTGTGTAGGTCTGTCCCCAACACTGTAAGCATTTAGCATGAAGGACCCTGCACCTCGGAATGTGAATGTATTGGGAGACAGAGCCTTTAAAGATGTGGCTAAGTTAAAATAGGGCCATTAGAGCAGGATCCCACCCAGTCTGACTGATGTTATAAAAGGAGGAAATCTGGACACACACAGAGACACCGGGGGTGCACAGACAGAGGAAGGGCCACTTGAGGACACAGCAGGGAGGTGGCCGTCTGTAAGCCAAGGAGAGAGGCCTCAGGAGAAACCAAACCTGCCTTGATCTGGGACTCCTAGCCTCAAGAACTGTGAGCAAATAGACTTCTGTGTTTTAAGCCACCCATTCTGTGCAGTTTTGTCACGGCAGCCCTAGCAAGCTGAGGCAGCTCCCACAGCATCTCCAGACTCGTTCCGGAGGGTGGTTCTGCCCTGATGGAGAACGGTTCTGTCTAGGATGGCTACTCAAGTAGTAAGTACTTCCTAAAACCACAACAAGAAAATATGGAGGAAAAAATGTGAAACGCAAATCCACAGATTTCCTAAAATTTGAGTTGCTCAATACTGCATGAGTATTAATATAAATTTAACCCACAGAGTGGTTGATTAAACAGTAAGATACTAGACGGTTTGAGCAGTCCACCTCTAGAATACCCATAAAAATAATTTGAACATCTGTGGAATGATTCCCTTTAATTCTGACAGGGTATTCTGAAGAAGGTGTTACCAGTCTAACTCGTGGGCACTGAACTCTCTCAGATAAGACCAGCAGCCTGTCCTGTAAATCCTTCAGCTGGAACAGAGGTCAGGCACTTGAACACTGGGGTGGTATGAATCACCGCCACTCTCTGAGTACTTGGGGTAGAGCGAGGCACAGCGCCCGGCGGAAAGAAAGGGAGCTGGGGGGCAGGAAGGACCACACAGCTGCTGAAGGACGCACACTACTGATGGGAAAGGTGCCTTGAGGAAAATCACCTGGAGCTTCCTGTGCTCAGGAGAACGGGAGCTGATGAGCAAAACGCTACATTTTTAAGGAGCTTTATCAATCGTGGTGGTAAAAATAAGTCGGAAAGGAGAATAGCTGGAAGTGCTGACACCACTTTTGGTAACCTGAGAATTCCAGGACAGTCAGAATTATGTGTGAGCCACTATCAAGAAATGACATAACTAGGTGACTGACTGGGGCTGCGGTCTAGGAGAGGATGGGAGAAAAACCAAAGTTGACTCCCAGGTGTTCGGCATGAGAAGGGGAAGCAACCCGGACACCCACGGACCGCGCGTGGTGTTCGCACTCCCTGTTGAGCTGCAACCTACAGAAGTCCCTTGGATATGTCGTCCTCATAAGCCAAACTTGTCCCACTCAGTGGGCAGATCTTATGAAAGACAATCAGATGACACCTTTTAAAGCTCTAAAAAGTCCATCTTGTGGAAAATGTGGACAGATTAGTTTGAGGAAGAGAATTAAAAGGTGGAGAAGCAAAGGGTTCAGTCACTTAAACGTCCTACACAGAACTAACCAGAGGCATATCACATCTTTAACAAGTCGGGGAAAGGGCAGGACTAGGGAGGTCTTTGCATAAAGGATCCACATGGACAGTAATTCAACTACCATTGTGACTTCCAGACAAAATTGTGTGTGCCTCCCTGTAAGAACATCCCATAGCCACTGACTGCACGGCAAGCTGCCGCCCCACCAGGGAAGTCGCCCCCTGTATACTTCACTCGGTATCACTTTGCCCAGCAAATTCATATTACTTAATTCGCTCATCCTAAAAAAGGCCATTTGGCAATGAGGTATAAACATTAAGGTGCTAAATTTCCCGCACTCCCCTCCCTCCGGCGGGGTCTCTGTGGCCTCCTCTGTGTGCGTGCTTGTTGAGGGGCCACCCCTCTATCATGACGCCCCCCAGACAGCGCAGTAACCAGGTGTCTCTCTCCTAGACCGACGTCCCTCAAGGGCGGGGGCCTGCGGCTCTCACCTGCTCTTCTCCCATCCCTCAGTGCTCAGGAGACAATGCGCTGGTTAAACCTTTGTGGGCTGAACTACAGCAAGTCCTAAGAGTGATGTTTATTCACCAAAGCCCTTCCCTAACACGTGAGGTGTATTCCAGAGAGCCCTGCGGCCTCTAAATGGGAAGATCCTATTTCAAGCCTCTGGATCAGCTCACCTTGTGTCTGACTCCACTAGAGTCGTTGTAATTATGGTCTCTTACTCTTTTTTTAAAAAGATAACTTCTAGGGCATCTTGGGAGTTTCTGACTTCTGTACTCCAAGTCTCCTTTTCCGCATAAAAGCTATCCTAAGGTGTTCTTCCAAGAGTGACACACATCTGTTACGTGATGACTTCGGATGTTAGTTCAGAGAGAGCTACACAATCTTTAGGTCTGGGATGGGGGAGTTCACACCCCTTTCCACCCCACTTTTCACTAAGTCTGCTCATGACAGGCAACCAGTAAACTCTCTAACATTTCACCCTTGCTCCCACTGGAACAGAGTTCCCTCCCCAACGGTCTCTACCTAAGGAAGCAGCTCTCAATCAGAGTCCTCAATTTTGCTGCCCCACCCCTGCCCTCATGAGACATCTGGCAATAGCTGAAGACATTTGGACTGTCATAACCAGGGGGGAGTCTCACTGGCATCTAGTGGGGAGAGGCCAGGGGTGCTGCTGAACTTGCGGCAGGGCACACAGCAGCCCCTTACAACCAAGAATTATCCATCCTTACATAGTATTGAGGTTGAAAAAGCCTGATTTCTAAAACTGAGGCATAAGTGACATACATTACACGAGGTTCAGGTGTACAACACTGACAGTCATATATACCACTGTGAAATGATCTCCACAATGAGTCTGGTTAATACCCATCCCCACACAGTCACACGTGTTTTTCCCTGTGATGAGAACTCAAAGAAAAATCCTGATTCAGGTTAAGAGAAATCAAAAAGAAAAAAAAAAAGAGAGAAAAAGAAAATTCACACCATTAAAATTCAAACAAGACAAGAAAGAAATCATTTATTTTAGGTATAGTGGGGGCAAAAGAGAATAAGGACTTTTACAGTCAGAACCACTTTGGATGAAAGTCACAGCCTTCCCATTAGCAGTTACTAATACTTGGGAGCACAAAGTTGATGTGTGGATGAAATACAGTAACTTAGCAGGTGCTGATGAAAGGGGGCTGTTGTCCTCCAACCATGTCTGTCCTTTTCAGACACTCGTAATTCACAGGGTTGGCTAAAAGCCATGCTTTTTGTTTTCAGTGTAAGTGACTTCTCTCGGTCTGAGCCTCCTCCAGGATATTACAATTTTTTATGGACTAAAAATCCTCAAGCTGGAAACCATGCTGGAGGATCCACTCCTCCTAACTTGAGATAATCTTTTTTTTGTTTTGCCAAAAAATTCACTTTTATAGCACAGAACCCAAGTGAAACCAGTTTTCTACGTATGTTTTGATCTCATATGGGGAAGGAAAGTTGTCAAAATCTCTTGTTGACGTGAATTTGGGTTATTTATTCCATCTCACAGGTGGTGTGAAGGTTTGTTTTTTTTTTTTTAGCCTAACTGTATCATTTTGTTTTGGGTCACATTTAAAAACTTAACCACTGTTTCTCAACTCCCATTTCATCGGTCTCTGAGGTCTAAACATTTCCTGTGACTTTTGACATGTTTAATTTGACCGATTTTCTGACCAAAACATGTATGTTGATTTCAACTGGCTAGGACAAAATTCACTGTTTCCTTAATACCCTGGGAAAGCTGTTAGAAAAAAAAAAAATCTTTTCACCCTGATTTTTCTGCCAGTCAACTTCTAATGACCTGCTCTGTATGTGTGGGAGGATATGCCCTGTGTGTGTGTTAAGACTGATTTCTATGTACAAAGGAAAAATAAAAGTTAAAAAAAATTTTTTTTAAGCTTCAAACATTCAGGCGGTGCATTTCAAGTGAAACTATTGACTGATAAAGATCTAATCTCCTTTCCCCCCCCCCAGAAACATCTTTTCTAGAAATTCTTATAAGCTGCTTCATTTTGAAGCTGCTTTACCCTTCAAGTTTTCATTTATTAAATATCCTTTGGGCACTCTTGGCACAACTATACTTCTGAAAGTACTCCTTCCAAAACTGGGTTTCATTCCTTTTAGTCCAAGCATCCAAATTCAGTTAAAATAATGTGAGGCAGAAAATGATTTTTCTTAAAAAAAAAAAAAGCCCAATATTGGAAGGAAATGAAGGATCTGAGAGGTCTAGAAGTCATTACAGAAGATGACTTGTTGGAATGATGGCAAGTAAAGATATTCACATTTGTACAGTTTTGTTCTGTGTGGCAAAGGAGGGAGGGGGAACAAAGACTAAAGCCACCAACTTGGTGGATTAATTGATGTCATTTAACCAAGGGTGTGCTAGACTCGACTTGCACTGGCGCACAGTTCTTCCCACGTTGGAGGTCAGTGATCACATGCTGGTAGCTTGAAATTAACCACAGAAATGGGTAAATGCCACAAACCAGGGCTTCTCACCACGCCCCCAGAGAGCTGGTTTACCAGCTCACTACTGACTAGCACAATACCATGATGTTACTTGATGTAAATATGGCATGAAAAGGCAGGCAAGCGAAAAGGGAAGGAAGGAAAGAAGCAAGACAGAAAGAAAAGAAGGGAAAAGGAAAAGAAAAGGAAAAAGAGAAAGGGAAAAAAGCTGGAGACATCTGTTAAATGACAGAGACTCATAAATATTTTTTCAACTGGTCCAGATGAATTAGATGTAGCCAATGGCAGGGTCAGAAAAAGATGGCAGGTAAGCAGAGCTAGAGAAATCCCAAGATGTTTCTCTCCTCTGCAATTTCTGCAGGACCTGGAGGCTTGTGGCTGTGATGACAGCCAATGTACCGGCAGGCAGCCTGCACACATGCCCAACTCAGGAGACAGACATCAAAGGTCTGCACTCTTACCAGAAGAGGGCAGAGGGGAAGCGTGTATGATTTCTGAGCACCCTTCAAACGGAGAACACTGCATGGTTGGTTCAAGTTTTTTGTGTTTTATCTGAAACAGACAGGTAAGAACCATCTTTCACGTATTTGTAGTTCCGTGACACTCACCACATTCAAGAAGCTGTCGTAGTTCTGCTAGGTTGCTGGAGCTCTGTGTTCTGTAGAGAGTTGAACATTCCAGACCTAGGACACGAAACAGACTGAGTATGCAAAACACATCTCTCTGGAGAACCCGAGAGCCTGCTGCCAGCAAGATGTTCCAGTTTCCATCCAGTATCTATTCTAGATGTGCACCAGATATTCTTGGAAGTCAGCTCCTACGATTCATCTTAGCTGGCCTGTCAATAATTTTGGCAAAATCATCTGGCCACCAAGGAGCAAGTTAATTGAGTTTACTCAATTATGGAGACTTTCACAGCTTCCATTCAGTAACTACACATTAGTATGGAGTTATTAGTCAGACCAAGATTATCTCCCCAGCTCATGGCAACAAAGAGCTTTGGTGTCCAGCACAGGTGGCAAGAAGTGTATCCAAAGAATGCCCACAAGACATATATACCTGACAGCACCCACGATATAAGGCCGCCCCCTGTTAACAGATCCTGGCTACCAGTCAGATTACCTTTCTTTTCAATGGCTTCCACCAGCTTGATGAGGAGCGGTGGAGCGACGTCAGGAGGGGCAAACTGCTCTGCAAGGTCTGGGAGCGTCGAAGCTGTAAGTAAACAAAATCCTCGGGTTATGCTGAATCCAGTACACTTGACAACAGGGAAGAAAACTGAGACACGAAGTAATGGAGTGCTGTTGGGGCAGCAGCAAACTCAGGCTGGAACCAGAGACGGCCAGTGCTGGGCCCTGAGCTCTAGAAGGCTGCTCCCTGGCCGCCCCGCAACTATGCCTCTTCCCACAGTGCGATGAGTCTGGGGGCCAACAGGAAGTGGCAGCTTCTTCTCTCCTAGGACACACTCAGAATGCCGCCCAGAATCCCAGGGTTCCTGGCCAGTGCCTCTCATGGTCTCTTCCCCAGGTCCACCCTCCCCAGGGCAGACCTCCCTGCAGGGGTGCCCCCTCGGCCTTCGGAGTGGGCCGGGGCTCAGGACAGAATGAAGTTTGGCTGTGTGAGGCCCTGGCAGTGCAGGGCCAAGCTAGGGTGGCCCGGGAGCCAGCTCTCCCCACATCACCACGCTCTGGGGCAGAACTCAGAACCCAAACCTAAGAAATTTAACTTCAAATCTGGCTTCCTTGTCATGAAGAAATAACTATCCAGGCAGGATGACAGAACAGATTTTCTGAACAGTTTGTTAACACGACGTAACTTTAAAATACTGAGACGCAAGTGCTCGGGCCTCCTTTCGTGCTACTGCCCCAACCCCACAGAGGTCGGGTAGGCTTAGCGGCAGATACAAAGCCCAGACAAATGGTCCCTGGCCATGTGACACTCAAATTTAAGTCCCCATATATCTGCTGTTGGAAAGCCTGTATTTGTTTACATGTATTTTGGTCAGTTAATAGCTTAAGAAATGTGATGCTTTCGTAAACTCTTTCCATGGTTTATTTACATGTTTTACCAAATGATACAAAAGTCAAAAAAAATCTGATTGGATGACACAAATAACGCCCTTCAGCATTATACTGTTAATTGTATTTTCACTCCAAAAATACAGGAAACCAGAGAAAACTGGGATGTTGTATTGGTGTCGTACAAGGGAGACTTGGCAGCGGGGAGGTGGATTTTGCTGGAGGTAAAGAGAGTCATTAGAGAAAGATGATGGATGGACTAGTCGGGGGGACACAGGAGTCCTAAATGGGTATGCAGTTGATGGCAGAGCTTTACACTGAATGAAAAAAGAAGGAAGCTGGTGGAACTGGGGAGAGAGACAGGCGGATGCGTGGCTGTGCTCTGGGATTTTGGCTCTCCTCTCGTCGTGGCTGGTACAATGGGTGGACAAGGATCAGTTGGGATGTGGACGCCTGGAGTGACAATGCTGGCCAGCCTGACCTAGTTGACATTTATGGAGTGTTCCAGCTGGTAGCAGGGAGCACATTCTTTTCAAGTCAAACATAATACTCACTAAAGGTACGGTGCTAACACTTTCAGTGTTTAAAAGAATCAAAATACTATAAGTCATGTATTCTGACCATAGTAGAATTAAAATTAAATCAATAATAGAAAGACATATGGAAAATGCTGAAATACTTGGAAATTAGAGACCTCACTTGAAAATAAATTATATTCACCACTGGGATGAAATCATATGGGAAATAAAAGTATATATATAGAAAACCATCTTAAGTAAAAATTTTTTTCCTCATAATACACCAGAAGGGGGAGCTAAACATACTCATCTCAAATTTCTCAAACTGCAAAAGTAGGTAAATGACAGTCTTTATGAAAACACCGACATGTCCAGACTGTTTATCAGCCACCAATAAGTAGCGTTTTAGACACTTAAGAATGCACGGTGATGAACCTTATATAGGAATAGTTTATATAATCTAAGAAAGACTAAATATTGGCACTTTTGTTCCAGTGAGATTTCAGTGGTGTGATTCCTTATTAGAAGCCATACACCATGTTAAACAAATTTCTAATGAAGCCCAGCTTTCTAATACTGAGTCAGCAGAGAAAAATAACAGACTCACAATACCTTAGCACAGTAAGATTATGTTATTAAATCTTGACCTCAGAGAATTAAGTATGATTTACGTCATTTTGGAAACCCAAACCCTGCAATGTTAGATGCTTTTAGGTTGCAGTATTCCTTGAGACAGACAGTAATGTGATCTCGCCACCTAACTCTGCTAGCCACTGCAGTTACCCAGGATGAAGGGAGAAGAGCTAAGCTAAGGGAGAGAACCCGGTAGCAGCACTCTCCGGGAGGACGCTCTACGACGGTGGAAGTGCTCCGTGCGCGGGGCTGTCCCGCAGGGCAGCAGCACATGAGCGCCTGAAGTGTAGCTCTTCCAACTGGGAAACTGAATTCGTAGCTTTTATGGATTTAAAATAGAACAGCTATGTGTGGCTAGTGAGCACAGTATTGAAGAATGCCGTCCTATCACCTGAGCAAGGGCCCCTTTTGACTCCGGAGTTGACTTTGTGCTACGAAGACCCCCACTATAAAACCATCCCCGAGGACAGGGCATCCGGACATGGGACTTATCAAACCTGAACTCAGGGCACACAAAGTATCACTCAATTCCCTGGGTGACTCTTCCCTACTGTAAAAGCACCTGAACACCTTCTGGACTTCATAAAAGCAGGACAGATAACGTCCCCGACTTTCCAACAGTCGCTATGCAGAGAGCTGCGTGGGAACCTTGTTTCACCTGTTTCCTCCACCACCTGAGCCTATGGACACCTGGGGAACCTGCTAGAACGACAGATTCCCAGGGATGACTACAAACCCCCAGAATCAGAACAGGAATGGAGCTAGCAGCCTGTGTTGTGTTAGTAACAAGTTTTAGGACATGCTATTATGATAAGCAAATCCATGTGGGTGACTCCCCAACCCCCTGAAAAAATCCAGCAATGACATCGCCCAAATGTTAACATCTAAGTACACCTGAAAAGGACTTAAAACACAAATATTTGGCAAGTTTTGTACACTTTATAATTAAAAGCACTGTAAAATAGAGAAAAGAAATACTGTAAAATGAAAGAGCATAGCCTTTCATTTCCTCCGATAAAACTATAAACTACTTCCCTTTGCCTTAGATTATCAGCTCACACAAACATCCTCCCCTATAAATGCCTTCAACACTGAGCAAACTGAAATACCATCCTGTCAGCATATGTAACAGAAGGAACACAGAAAGGTAGAGAAGTGCTGTAGAGAAATGTTACTAATCAGGACTCCCTGGAGCATTTCTCCTTAGCCCTCTCAAACTTAAGAGATTTCAGCACATGGCAAGATGCAAAAAGCTCGAGATGAAACAGTAAACACATGAACCCAGACATCCACACAACACTTGTCCAACGAACATGCCTAGTTCTCCTTTCTCTTCCCTCATGAATTAACACAAGCATTTTTCTATTAAAAAAAAAATCTTTGAAGCTGGCAAGTGAAAGTGGAATTACTTAATAAAGGTTTACCTCCTCCCAGAATCTTATCAACACGATCGTTTCTGCAGGCAAATATGAAAGTTGAATTAAGTGATAATTAAAAATTTCACCTGTGATTGAAATATGCACCCAAGAGTTGTTAACATTACTGGGTTGGGAAATACTATACATAAAATCATTTCTATCACTCTTATTTCTTCCCTTCAGCTTGGAGGAGGAGGAAAAATAAAAAAACAAAAACATTTCCTTAGTCCTTTCAGTGTTTCTGTGGCAAAAACTGGTAGTTTACTTTCCACATCCTGTGCTACAAAATATCATTTGTTTCACTGGTACAAGTACTACATGTAGTTTCTAAAAGGCATTGTGATGGCTATCAGGTATCTGCAACAACACTGGAACCTTGCTCAAAGTGCACCCCAGAACTCTTTAAAAAGAAAAAAAAAAAACTAGATGTATACATTGGGAGGGACAGGTACCCTTTTTGTAATATAGCAAATTTACCACTGAATTTTTAATACTGAAAAGCTTTATTACCCAAATGTATTATCATAGCTGATCAAAGCAACAGGAGTTTTAAAAGGTAAATTTTACAAAGAGAGAAAATTAAAAAAAAACCCCAACAATTCAAGGATTTCCCATGTTCTAATACAACATCTATGATTCAATCCACTTCCCCTTTAAAATATTTAAACACAGGGAATGTGGAAGCTTTACCCAAGAAGCCTTTAAAACTCCCATCTTCTACTTTGCACAGCAGGATCAATTAACATTGAAAGTCTAAAAAGCACTCTAAAGCAACAGATTCATTATTTCAACAATTCTACAATCAACTATTCCTTTAATTTTATTAATTACACAGGGCCAACAGTCACATTTCCGTTAGAACCCATTTTAAGAAATTCCAACAGGAAATGACAATCGTTACGAAGTACCAAATTTGGCAAGTCGTTCTTTGAAAAGTCCATGATAAAGTACCACATCATACAGTTCAATAAACTAAACCACAATGGAACTTAAAAAAAAAATCCAAAATATATAGATCATAGATGGTGGCTATTAAACAAAATACAAATTAACAGAGCAGAATCCTCACCAAGTTTATATATAAATTCTCATTTGATTTTGCCTTCCAGACAGATTTCTATCCCTGACTGAGGAATGCTTTTTGGTTTTTGAATCCTGCTGTATCCAGTGTATAAGTCTGGAAAGCCAAGTCTAATCTTAAAACGCTGGGTGAATTTCAGATTCCTCTACTACAATCCAACACTGGTTTTTCACTTAGCTGAATCATTTTTCATCAAAAGAAATCAGTATTACTGATGAGGAGAGAAGACAAGAAAGAACAGCAGAAGAGTCTAAAAGTGGCAGAGAAGCCAAGACGTTTACTGGTTCAAAAGAAGAGAGGAATCCATCTCTAACAAGAACGCGGATGAAATGGGGGTCCCAGGCTGCGGAGAACTTTTGATGACACATCAGATGTTGCATTTTCCACTAGTTCTACTTTCCTCCTCTGCCCTGGTGACAACCGATCACATGGAACAGAAGAGAGCCTTCTCTCCCGACGTAGGCCCTTCCCAAACCACTGACACGGACAGGCCTGAACAGTCCTTGGGCACCAGTGGTGTGTGGGAGACGGCATTCCTCACTTTAAA